ACCATATAATGCCTCATAGGGGGCCATCTGAATGCTCGACTGGTAGTTGTTGTTGTAGGCAAACTCTGCTAATGGCAAGAACTGATCCCAAGAACCTCCAAAATCAATAACACATGCTCCGAGCATATCCTCTAAAATCTGAATAGTACGCTCGGACTGCCCATCCGTCTGAGGATGAAATGCTATGCTCAACTCGACCTGAGTACCCAACTCACGCTGAACTGCCCTCCAGAAATGCGAGGTAAACTGCGTACCCCGGTCAGAAATAATAGACACGGGCACGCCATGAAGACGAACAATCTCCCGGATATAGATCTCAGCCAACCGCTCCGAAGAATAGGAAACTGCCATAGGAATGAAATGCACTGACTTGGTCGGCATATCAATAATAACCTATACTGCATCGAACATCCTTTGAGTCCGCGGGAGTCCAACAATGAAGTCCATAGTGATACGCTCCCACTTCCACTCAGGAATTCAATCTTCTGGAACAAACCACCAAGTCTCTAATGCTCGTACTTTACCTGCTGACAATTCAAACACCGAGCTACATAGGCAATAATGTCCTTCTTCATCCTTCTCCACCAATAATGCTGCCGCAAATCCTGATACATCTTAGCGGCACCCGGATGAATAGAATACCGGGAACTGTGGGCCTCCTCTAGAATTAACTCACGAAGTCCATCCACATTAGGCACAAAATACGAACCTACATCCTTAAAACTCCATCATCTCCAAATGTAATCTGCTTGGAACCCCCGTGCCACATCGTGTCCCTAAGGACAAGCAAATGAGGATCATCATACTGCCGATCTTGGATACGCTCAAATAATGAAGAACGAGCGACTGTGCAAGTTAGCACATGGCTGGGCTCAGAAACATCCAATCTCACGAACTGATTGGCCAAAGCCTGAACATCCAAAGCAAGTAGTCTCTCATCGACCGAAATATACGCAAGACTGCCCATGCTGACTGACTTTCTACTCAATGCATCGGCCACTACATTGGCCTTTCCCGGATGACATAAGATGGTGATATCATAGTCTTTCAACAGCTCCAACCACCTCCTCGACCTCAAATTTAGCTCCTTCTGCTTGAACAAGTACTGTAGACTCTTGTGATCCGCGAACACCTCACATGACACGCCATACAAATAATGCCTCCAAATCTTCAGCGCGTGAACAATGGCTGCTAACTTCAAATCATGAACTGGATAATTCTTCTCGTGGATCTTCAACTGTCGCGAGGCATATGCAATAACCTTGCCATTCTGTATCAACACCGCGCCAAGTCTAATACGCGATACGTCACAATACACTGTATATGGCCCTGAACCTGTAGGCAATACCAACACCGGCGCCGTAGTCAAAGCTGTCTTGAGCTTCTGAAAGCTCGCCTCACACTCATCCGACCACATGAATTGGGCACCCTTCTGGGTCAACCTGGTCATCGGGGCTGCAATAGATGAAAACCCCTCCACAAACCGATGGTAATAGCCCGCCAAGCCGAAGAAATTCAGGATCTCTGTAGCTGATGCGGGTCGAGGCTAGTTCTTGACTGCCTCTATCTTCTTTGGATCCACCTGAATACCCTCTACTGGTACAACATGGCCCAAGAATGCAACTGAACTCAACCAAAACTCGCACTTCGAAAACTTGGCATACAACTGACTGTCCCTCAGAGTTTGAAGAACGACCTGAAAATGCTGCTCGTGCTCCTCCCGGCTGTGGGAATAGATCAAAATATCCTCAATGAAGACAATCACGAAGGAATCCAAATAAGGCCTGAACACTCGATTCATCAAATCCATGAAAGCTGGGGCATTTGTCAACCCGAATGACATTACCAAGAACTCATAATGCCCGTACCGAGTGCGGATAGCTGTCTTAGGGACATCGGATGCCCTAATCCTCAACTGATGGTAGCCAGATCTCAAGTCGATCTTAGAAAACACTTGGGCACCCTGAAGCTGGTCAAATAAATCATCAATCCTCGGCAATGGGTACTTATTCTTGATTGTGACCTTGTTCAACTGACGGTAATCTATACACATCCTCATTGATCCGTCCTTCTTCTTAACAAACAACACCGGCGCACCCCAAGGCGAGGCACTCGGTCTAATAAAGCCCTTATCCAGCAAGTGCTGCAACTGCTCTTTTCATTCTTTCAACTCTGGCGGGGCCATATGATATGACGGAATAGAAATAGGATGAGTGCCCGGAGCCTAATCAATGCAAAAGTCAATGTCCTGGTCGGGTGGCATCCCCGGCAGGTCTGAAGGAATACCTCTGGAAACTCACGAACAAAGGGCACAGAATCCATAGAAGGAAACTCAACACTAGAATCACGAACATACGCCAAATAGGCCTAACATCCCTTATCGCCGAGCCTTCATATATGATATAACCCTGCTGGTGGAATGACCAGGAGTCCCTCTCCACTCCAAACGAGGCAACCCCGGTAGTGTTAGGGCCACCGTTTTGGCACGGAAATCCAATATAGCATGATAAGGGGATGACCAATCCATCTCCAATATGACATCAAAATCAACCATATCCAAAAGTAACAGATCTACTCGGGTCTCAAGATCCCCAATCGCAACTATACAGGAACGATGGACACGATCTACCACAATACAATCACCCACCGGTGTAGACACATATACAGGAGTACTCAAAGAATCACGAGGCACAACCAGATAAGGGGCAAAATAAGATGATACATAAGAATATGTGGACCCTGGATCAAATAGAACTGAGGCATCTCTACTGCACACTGAAACCGTACCTGTGATAACTGCATCGGAGGCCTCCGCCTCAGGTCTGCCTGGAATAGCATAACATCGGGGCTGGCCCCCACCACTTTGAGCTACATCCCTAGGACGGCCTCCTGCTGGCTGGCCTCCACCTCTAGCGGCCTGACCTCCACCTCTAATACCTCTACCTCCACCTCTAGCACCTCTACCCCCACCCCTAGCTAGCTGAGCGAGCGGTGGAACACCTGGTGCCTGAACCATGGCACGGGAACCCTGCTGCTGTGACTGAACACCCACTAACTTTGGACAAGCTCTCTAGATATGACCATACTCACCGCACTCGAAACATCCACCTGAGTGCTGCGGCTGAGGAAACTGAGACTGACCCTGGCGGGCCGGCTGACCATGAGAATAGCTTTGAAGAGGAGGTGCTCTGATAGGAGCCGATGGTGCATAGTAGGATTGCTGATCAGAATACTGCACATGAGAACCACGGCCACCTAGAGCACCATGAGAAGTCTGAAGTGCCGAATGAAACGTCCTGGAAGGATGGTCTCTACCAAAAGAATCCCTGCCTCTAGATGAGGCACCACTGAATCTGTATGAATGACGGGGCCTCTTGTCAAACCCCTGACCACTCCCTGCGATAGAATCATCTCCACTCTCCTGGCCACATTGACTGCATCCTGGAAAGAAATCTCGCTCCTAGTCTCCTTAGTCATCTGCAATCGAATCGGCTGAGCGAGTCCCTCAATGAACCTCCTCGCCCCCTCTCTCTCGGTGGGAAGTATAATAAGAGCATGACGGGCCAAAGTAATGAATCTGGTCTCGTACTGAGTGACGGTCATAGAACCCTACTGGAGACGCTCAAACTGCCTCCGATAGTCCTCCCTTTGAGTGATAGGAAGAAACTTCTCCAGAAATAGCTGAGAGAACTGATCCCAAGTCAAGGCAAGTGACCCAGCTGGCCTAGCCAAACAATAATCTCTCCACCAAGTCTTGGCGGAATCTGATAGGCGAAAAGCAGCAAAGTTGACCCCATTGGTTTCCACTATCCCATGTTCCGAAGAACCTCATGACAGCTGTCTAAGTAATTCTGGGGATCCTCTGAAGATGTACCACCATAAGTAGTAGTGAACAACTTGGTGAACCTATCCAATGTCCACAAAGCATCGGCAGACATAGCTGCTCCATCATCGGTTTGAGCTACCACACCCGGCTGAACTGCTCCAACTAGCTGAGCTGCTGGAGTCTTAAACTGGGGAGCCATTTGCTCCGGAGTGCGGGTAGCGGGAGTCTGTGCTCCTCCCCCAGTCTGAGAGACAGTTGGTGCTACAGGAAGTAAGCCTGCCCGAGTGACACTCTCCATAAGGCCCACTAGACGAACGAGAGCATCCTGGAGTATTGGGGTAGCAATGAACCCCTCTGAGACCTGAGCTGGGCCCACCGGAGCTGTTTGGGCCGGAACCTCATCATCAAACTCAACCTGAGGCTCCGCCGCTGGTGCTGCTACTCTGGGCTGAGCTCTGCCCCTGCCTCGGCCCCTAGCACGACCTCGCCCTCTACCCCTCGTAGATGCTGCCGCTGGGGGATCAGGCTGCTGATAAGCGGATGAATAAGCACGTGTTCTCGCCATCTGCGAAAGAACATAGTAGAAGTTCAATTAGCATTGAGAAACCAAATCACACGATAGAGAAGAATAGAAGTGAAACTGTTCCTAACTCTGTAGCCTCTGGGGATAAATACAGACATCTCCGTACCGATCCATCAGACTCTACTAAGCTTGTACGTGAATTGTGAGACCTAATCAACCAAGAGCTCTGATACCAACTTGTCACGACCCGAATTTCCCACCCTCGGGAGTCGTGATGGCGCCTACTCATGAAAGCTAGGCAGGCCGAGTATTACAGATTTACTACACTTTTTCCTATTTCCTTTTAACAATTCAATTTAACAGGCGATCAACAGCGGAATAACCATAATAATAAAATAAATGCGGAAGACGAAATCTGACAAAATCACAAAATACCAATACGAAAATCCAAAGTACAACTCTACCCAAAATTTGGTGTCACAATGTCACGGACTATCTACGAATACTACAAACAGAGGTCAGAAAGATAAATACAAATCTGTCTCTGAAATACATAAGAACAGAATGGAAAGATAGAAGGGGACGCCAAGGCCTGCGGACGTTTGCAGGACTACCTTGGGTCTCCGCCGCTGGACTGAAGGCAGCAACCTCACTGTGGTCCAAAAGCTCCGATACCGAGATCTGTACACAGTACAGAGTGTAGTATCAGCACAACTGACCCCATGAGCCGGTAAGTGTCGAGCCTAACCTCGGCGAAGTAGTGACGAGGCTAGGACAAGACTACCAAATAAACCTGTGCAGTTATATCATATACAGCAAATAATAATGACAGAAACTAGCAATTAAAGACGGGGAGGGGGAACATGCTGTGGGGAATATCAAGTACCAACAGAATCTCAGGAGAAAAGCATAAAGAACATCTTAAATTTCATGCCAACCAGAATAAGGACTCAGTAATGAATCTATAATCACTTTTATTCTTTATTTTTGCGGCGCGCAACCCTATCCAAATCATATATCACTGTTGCGGCATGCAACTCGATCCAAATCATATATCACTATTGCGGCGTGCAATCCGATCCAAATCATATATCACTATTGTGGCGTGCAACCCGATCCAAATCATATATCACTGTTGCGGCGTGCAACCCGACCCCTCCTGTCGTCCCTTATTACTCCTTGTTGCGATGTGCAACCCGATCCCATATATTATTGTTGCGGCGTGCAACTCGATCCAAATATACAAATCAACACTAATCATAAAAGAATCCCGACATGGGAACAATAAGGAAACAACAATATCCCGGCAAGGGAATCAACAACAAGAATAAACACATCCCGGCAAGGGAACCAACAGTAAGAATTAAATACGTCCCGGCAAGGGAATCAGCTATAACCAAACCTATACCAACAATTAACTTCACAAATGAAACCTCAACTAGAGCCAATGCTCTACAATGTCCAATTACCAAGAATACTTCCATAAGCCTTGTTCAACATTAATAACATTATATTAAGCATGGATAATACATAACAGAGTCACAGCATTCATAGTATAAGACTCACGGGCATGCTTGACACCAACCTATAGATACTTGTCACCACACCTACACGTCGTACTCATCAATTAACACATAGCAAATAAGACCATGACTCATATTCCCTGAAGCTAAGGTTAGACCAAACACTTACCTCAATGCCACGAACACAATCAATCCTCTATTACTGTTTTACCCCTCGATTCCACCACCAATTCGCTTGTGTATAGCCAAAATATACTTAATGATATCAATAAATTCTAAATGACATGCATGAAAATAGGTTTTCTAATGATTTCTCCAAAAAGTCAAAAATCGACCCCGGGCCCGCTTGGTCAAAACCCGAGGTTCGAACCAAAACTCGATCACCCATTCACCCACGAACTCAAATATATAATTTATTTTAAAATCGGACCTCAAATCGAGGTCCAAATCCCCAAAATTTGAAAATCCTAACTTCTACCCAAAAACACCCAATTCCGTATGAAAAATCCTTGATTTTGAATTGAAATCATGTAAAAAGATGTTATAGATCGAAGAAAACGAGTTAGAAATGACTTACTAATGATTCGGTGAAGAACTTGTCTTTGAAAAATCGCCCAAGAGAGTTTAGGTTTTGAGAAAGTTGTAAAAATGGTTGAAATCCCGTCAAAATTTCATTTAGCAGGTCTCAGTTGTCGCAATTGCGACCAGGGTTCGCAATTGCGAACCCTTTTGGAGCTGTTGCCTTCGCATTTGCGAGAGATTAGTCGCATTTGCGACACAGCCCTTTTCGCATTTGCGATAAAAGGGTCGCATTTGCGACCAAGGCCTGCCCAGGCTAGGTTCGCATTTTCGACGCCTGGGTCGCAATTCCCATGCCTGAGGACTTCGCAATTGCGAAGCCTGATCTCGCAATTTCGAGATCAGAGGCCTGGGCAAAAATACCAGATACCAGCAACTTTTCCTAAGTCCAATTTCACTCTGTGGCCTATCCAAAACTCACCCGAGCCCTCGGGGCTCCAAACCAAACATGCACGCAAGTCTAAAAACATCATACGAACTTGCTCGTGCGATCAAATCATCAAAATAACATCAACAGCTATGAATAAATCCTCAAATTCATGAAATCACTCAAGAACATCAAAATTACTATTTTCTCAACTATAGGTCCGTTTTATACCAAACCAATTCCGATCTTTACCAAAATTTACAGATTCAACTTAATTATTATTTTAAACTTGTACCGGGCTCCGGAACCAAGATACGAGCCCGATACCATCAAGAAAATGCATCAATTCACTTCTAAAAACCTTTATATTTTTCAGCAAACAATTTTCTTTAAAAATTCATTTCTCGGGCTTGGGACCTCGAAATTCGATTCCGGGCATACGCCCAAGTCCCATATTTTACTACGGACCCTACAAGACCGTCAAATCACGGGTCCGAATTCGTTTACCCAAAATGTTGACCGAAGTCAACTTAAATTCAATTTTAAAGGCCAAATTGGCATTTTTATTAAATTTTCACATAAAAGCGTTCCGGATATACGCCTGGACCGTGCACGCAAATCGAGGTGAGATAAAAGGAGGTTTTTAAGACCTCGGAATACCAAAATTGACTTGTAAATCAAGTGATGACCTTTTGGGTCATCACAAAATGATTACAGTATACTATTACAAAATAATTCTATATGTTTCAATATTCTGAATTTATGGTACCAAAAAGTATAAAAGGCCTTAGTTGTGGCGTATCCATATAATTAGAAAAAGATACTTTTAAACATAGTGATATGACAAACAATAAGATGACAAGTAAAAAAATTTTTTGAAATAATTGTAACTGTCTTCTGATAAGTTCTATATTCATAACTTTAAAATGCAAATAGGATAGGGAAGTACTTGAATATTATTTACCGCAATATAAGGGTCCTGATGGTAGGGTTGTGATTCAACTTTGTACTTCTTTCCTGTCCACAAAAGAAAAAACATAAAAAGTACTGCTGCACCTATAAAACCAAGCAGATGTCTCAAGGAAGTAATACAAGTCATAGGATATATGAGGCATAATACAATTGAGAAGACTAAAAGTTGATAAGCAACAAACAAGAGTAGGATAAATACACATGATCACTTCATGTATATATTGTAAGTAGAAGACTGTTTCTCTAATTCATGATTATTCTCTTGGTTGCATTACTGTTTTAATAGGACTTCTAGTGAAAGATAATGTCAAATTGGTAAGGCATTTCATGTAAGTACGGTAGTCTTCGGCAATTGTTACAGTAGAACTATGTTTCTCAGTTCAATAACAAGTTCTGAGCATTAAACATATGATATTAAACATCAAATTTCTTCCTACATTTAACACTGTAGAGTAGATAGACTGAATTACAAAATCTAATACGATTTAGTCTTATATGTCTCAATTAAAAGTGCATTCATGTAAAACACAAAGTGCATATCTTTAAGAATGCACTGAAGATAAGGCTAGATTTTATCTACTCAGCGTCTGATGCCAATCAATTCATAGCAGCAAACCATAGTTTCAACTTCCATAAAAGTACACTGAACACATAAAGTGACAGAAAAACCAAACATAAAAGAAAGAACCTTAGCATGTAACAATTAGATACTATATTTGTTATTTTCACAACCGTCTGGAAAAATAATTCTTTAATAAGGCAAGATATTATTGGGGAATAAAGGCACTAAGAAAGTGTTAAAGCTTTCTAAAAGTTGTGCAGGAAGCTAAGCTTGCCAAAATCACAACCAACAATAATAATATGGCAAAATATAAAGTATGTGTATAGTTAGCAAATTGAAGTGCGACAATACCAACAACAAACTAAACCATACATCTATTAAAAGATACAAAACCCCAATCGTAAACCCTCGTCCCATCTTGAATCTCCAAAATAAATCAACAAATGAAACCCAAAAATTAAAAGAGACGCCAGAGGAGCGAAATTTAAGAAACACAGACCTCATTAAAGAAATAGGAAATCAAAAATCCAGGTGCAAGATAAAAAAAAAAATTAACAAAGGAAAAAACGAGGTAGAAAAATAAAAATGAAGAATAGAGAAAGAGACATTGGTACCTTAAGTCCTAATGATGAGTATTTTGCAATGTCCTATGAAGCAATTGCTAATGGGTATTCTCTGTTTGTGAGGCGCTGACCCGTTTCCATGGCTGTAGCGTGGGGTGGAGGACGTCAAAATATTGGGTAAGTCACAGGTGTGTTGGGGAAGTTTTTATTGTTCTAGGTCTTCTTAGTTTGCCAACGACGAAGGTGCTAGGGTTTTGTGCCTTGGCGAATGGAGATAAGTAACGAGATGAAGCTTTACTGAGGCTTGTTATAAGTCCCTCATCCGTTTGGTGTTGCCATATGGTAATATTGGTAACTGATAACAACCGATAGGGGATTCAAGAATTACTAAAGAAAAAACAAGAATATCAAGAAACGTGCGGAAGCTAAAAGAAAATAAAGAAACAAAAAAAGACGAAAAATTAAAGATAGATTAAATTAAAAAAAGAATTTCTTGAATTCAATCTATTCTTGAAGTTGAATCCTAACAACAACAATTAGCTAACAAAGAACTAATCGTCTTTGGTAGAGAATTAAAAACAAGAGATAGATTGTGAAACCCGACCCTTTAGAATAACAAGAACAACAATAAGTCTAAACTTATCACCTTTCTTAAATACCTAGAAGTGATCTAACATTTCGGAAGAGTTCAATCTTACCACATTAAGTTGAGTCTTGAAGGTTGAAGAATAAATCCAAGAGTAGCCACACACAAGAGTGCAAGAAAAANAGATAAAAAAAAAAATTAACAAAGGAAAAAACGAGGTAGAAAAATAAAAATGAAGAATAGAGAAAGAGACATTGGTACCTTAAGTCCTAATGATGAGTATTTTGCAATGTCCTATGAAGCAATTGCTAATGGGTATTCTCTGTTTGTGAGGCGCTGACCCGTTTCCATGGCTGTAGCGTGGGGTGGAGGACGTCAAAATATTGGGTAAGTCACAGGTGTGTTGGGGAAGTTTTTATTGTTCTAGGTCTTCTTAGTTTGCCAACGACGAAGGTGCTAGGGTTTTGTGCCTTGGCGAATGGAGATAAGTAACGAGATGAAGCTTTACTGAGGCTTGTTATAAGTCCCCGTGAAAATTTGTGCCCAAAATCTAGTAGCTTGTAGTGTCAAGTTCCGGATATGTGTTAGGAATGTGTTTGGGACCCTTTGTACTGATCTAAGCATTTAAAAATCAAAGAATCAAGTTTTTCAGAAAATTGCTGTTATGCGATCCAGAATGCGGTCGCAAATCAAGTATGCAGACCGCATTTTTATCGCAAAGTGAGTCAGTGTGTTAGTCAAATTTGAGGTCAAAATGTGGTCGATTATGCGATCGCATAGCTAATATGCGGATCGCATAGTCGTCGCACAATCATATGGAATTTTATAAAGGGCAATTATGCGGTGCATTATGCGACCGCAGATCGTGTATGCGGACCGCATTTCTGCCGCAAACCCAGACAGTAGGACCAGATTTTTGGAGCACTTTTGCAGTCCATTCTGCGGACCGCATTTCATCTTTGCGATCGCAAATGAGATCGCATACCTGACTCGGGGCTCCTATTATTCTAAATTTTAAACCCGACCCCTTCTTCAATAAAATACCCCAACCCCTTATTTTAACGTATTTTCTGAACAAACTAGAGAGAGGAAGGGAGAGTTCTTGAGAGAGGAAGTCTTGCATTCATCGATTTGATTCTTCAAAGCTACCCGGGCCGGGAAATTTCAAGTAATTGTCTTCATCTCCATTCTTGCAGGTAAAATTCCCAACCCTTTTTCATTGGTTTCCAGGTTTAAACATAAAGGGGGATTCTCATGCATTGATTCTTGAAAATAAAGGTTGACAACATACATGCATGTCTTTTAAAACCTAAAATCTAGTAAGGGAAAATTGGGTAGAAGTAAAGGTTTGCAAAAGAAGGATTGATAACCTAAATAGGTTTGGGTAGAAATTGTGAATTTTAATTCTAAGATATATGTGTTAACTTGTGAACTAGAATGACGTTGCTAGACTGTTTGGTGAATTGAAAGTAGAAGTTAAAAAGGAAATTCGGCTCCAGGTATGTATGGCTAACTTTGACCTTTGTAAAGTCACTTTGTTTGGTGTACGAATATTTGGTATGTGATACCTATGTGGACCATTTGTGAATTCTTGTGATTGATATGCCTTGAGTGTTCTTGGTTAATCTCCCGATATAATGGTGCAAGTAAATGTCAACAAACCATATGTGTGTGTGAATGTGTTTATGTGATAAGAGCTGTGTAACAAATGATGGAAAGAAATCGTAACTGATGCAAATTGAAACAACTGTGGTAATATCATATGTGGCTTATCGTGGGCAAATATCGTTGTGGCTTAAATTGTATGTGAGCTGTTGTATATAATGGAATTGGTATTGATGGTTATGGAAATTCTTTGTGAATTGTTGTTGTTGTTGTGTGATTTGTGATTGTTCGGTGGGATCGGGTTGCGCGCCGCAATACGAAGTAATAAGGTGTGGGTTGTGGTGATAAGGGTGGCCGAGGTAATAAGGGTGGAAAGTGATCGTAATCACTATTGAAATGAAAATATGAGAAAGTTGTGAAACCACTGATGTGATAATGTTGAAAGGGGAAAAAGGAGAGATTGTGAAACTTGTTTGGCTTGACTGTTCCTTTCATGTGTATTTGATTGTTGATTCTATTCCTGCTCGTTACTTGTGTATTGTTTGAGTTTACTTGGGGCAAAGTTTGTTCATACATACCAGTACAATTCAAATGTACTGAAGTTCCTTTTTGCCGGGGGGCGCTACATTCGTGTTATGATTGTAGGTGGATCTATAGCAGGTACTCCAGTCCACCGACTGTAGCACTCCTTCACTTCCCGTCAGCTGAATTGGTGAGCCCCTTTCCTCTCGGGGCCCTACGTGGCTCATGCCGCTTTTATTCCGGAGTCTTGTTTTTGGTATTTGTGTAAGGTATAGCCGGAGCCTTGTTACCGGCAAGTATTGTATCATCCTTTTGTATCCTTAGAGGCTCCGTAGACAGGAAATGTGGGTTGTGAACTTATGTAATATGTATTTTGTATGTTGGGCGATGTAAGTTGTAAACCACGCTAAGTAATCATGTTTGTTATGTATATTTCGTAAAAAAGGTGTTTTAATTATAAATGGCTATTTCCTTTGATTAATGAGTAATGAAAACACGGGGTAACACGTGGGATAGGAAAGGCACCCAGGTCCGCTTGACTGGGGCTACCCGGTCGAGCGCCGGTCATGTCCCTCAGTTTTTGGGGCGTGACACGTGTGCATTGTTGTAGGTGTGACCTTGTCGGAGGTATGGCGTTCGCCGGAGCTATTCAGATTTGTATTCGATGTGGAGAAAGAAGTTTGCTAGGGTATTAGCTAGTACAATATCTTGGAACCATAAGAGATAATGGAGTTTTATTTAAGAACTAAAAATAAAAAAAAATTAAAAGAAAAAGGCTATGGTAGGTTAAGTAAAAACTGAAGACGGAAAAATTAGTGGAAAAAAAATCGCAATGGCTATAGTCTATAGAACCGTTGCCATAGTGGCGTCTATCGGAACGTATCCAAAGTCGTTGCAAATGATACCACCTATAGCAACGGTTCATATACTATTGCAACGGTTTGTGTTCAGAACTGTGCCAATAGGTCTAAGAGTCTTATGCAACGGTTACAACCGTTGAATATACCTTTTATTGTTGTTTAACCGTTGCTATAAACACCGTTGCAGTAGGCCCAATTTCTAGTAGTTATATATACCTCCTAACCTACAACCCTATTACTCGACCTCCACAACTTCCTATCAAGTGTCATCTCCTCGGAAATCTGAAGCTTCGCTATATCCAGCCTGATCACCTCTCCCCAATACTTCTTAGGCCGCCCTCTACCTCTTCTCGTTCCTTCAACAACCAGCCGCTCACACCTCCTTACCGGAGCATCTGGGCTTCTCCTCTGAACATGCCCGAACCATCTGAGCCTCGCTTCCCGCATCTTGTCATCAATGGGAGCCACATGCACCTTCTCCCGAATATCATAATTTCTAATCTTATCCATCCTAGTGTGTGCGCACATCCACCTCAACATCTTCATTTCTGCTACTTTCATCTTCTTGATATGAGAGTTCTTAACAGGCCAACATTCAGCCTCATACATCATGGCCTGTCTAACCACCACTTTATAGCTATTAGCAATAAAGCCAAATGTGGAAATATTATGGATAATAATTTGGAGGCTTTAGTTAAGACAAAACCTACCCACTCTCCCACTATTTTGTGTAAAACTAGTGGCTATTACGTGGCTAATGAAAAAGCTTCCAATGATGACTCTCCTAGTATTGAGTATTTAAAAAACATCAATAATACTAATACGGAAAGAACTAATATTACCACTAGTAGTACTTATCCCCAAAACATCAATAATACTCAGACTACTAGTTGCTTCACTAGCAATAATAATACCTCTGCACACTTGGCACATTCAACTCCCCAACTATCCAGGGAAGAACCTCTTGTAGGCTTACTTAATTCGAATACGCAATCACAACCAATTACAATGCAAATAGACTCTATATGTACTGAACGCCCTGTCCCGGAAACACCTGTGCACGCCAATCCCTCCTGTGACATTATAAAATCTCAAGAAAATATTAAGAACAACCTAACTTTTGAATGTAAGAAGTCTGAGACTAATCAGAATCCTTCTCTACTCCTTGAGAAACCAGAACATTTGAACAACCATGACAAATCATTCACTCTACAACCTTCCAATGAACACACCCATTGTCCGCACAACTCCTTCACTTCCTCCACATCACCACCCTCAGGACCAAATACCACCTCCCAATCAGTAAGAACTAGAAGCATAGAGGAGAGGAGGAGTCGCTGAGGAGCTAATCAAACTAGCTAAGGGAATCACGCACAGAATACAGAAACCTAAGAGAGGTTGCAATCATGTTAAGCAAGGAAATATTGAACAACAAGTTTGTGATCAACTGTCCATTGAGCATGTTCAAACGCTTCATGGACATAAGGCCCTGATGAAATCGAATCGTAAGGGGATATGTTGTAGTCCTAAACCCCACTCTGAGGGGCAATTACTCTTCTCTTTTGGAGGAGTACAGTATGACCAACAAGAACCAACCAAAGCCAATGAATATTGCTAATAACCTTGTGATATGGAACGTACGAGGAGCGAAGAATGCAGAGTTTAGGAGACACTTTAGGGCCATGATG